AGGCGGGGCCAGGCGGGGCCAGGCGGGGCCAGGCGGGTTCGGCTAAGGCCGGGAAAGTCCAGGACAAGACTGGATGAGCTTGAGAAACGAAAGACTCACACATAATTTTTGTTTAAATACCTAGGGATAAAACAAACAGTAATGTTCAATTTCCTTTCTTTACATGGCGTCCTGAGACATAAAATGTTATTGCATTACCACAATATTAATAGTGATGCGATATTGCTGTGACCAACTAGGTGACTAGGTAGCCAAAAGTTCTCTAAATCATATTGAAGACAATGTCTTAAAAATGCAGAGAGTTTTCATGTATTAGTTCGTCGATGATTTGAACACACCTTAAAGCTTGAGCTAGAGGCTCATAGTGAGAAATTTCAGAAGCTGAGACAATATTTTTAAATACAGCAGCGCTCGTAAATAAAAGTTGGAGGAGAGATATGAGGTCATATTGCTCAAGATTAATTTCTGTGGAATGTTTCATGCTTGAAATCTACCATGGTACATTTCTTATCGTATTGGGTTCTTTATTTTCGATCCTCTCTCCAAAGTACGCAGCGGAGAAAGTAAATGCAGTCTGGGATCGAAGGAGTTGGAGAACTACGCCTGCGGGAGCTAATTGATAAATCTTGGGTGGAAGTGGCGCCGGATATTGAAGATTAGGACGGAGGCGTCGGGGCAGCCGCCTGCACTGAGAAGATTGCCTCGAGGGCGGTGCAAAACGAAGATTTATCCTCTATCCCACGACTACACTTCTCCTCTCACCCAGTTGAAGAAGATATGAACCTCATATTTCTCTTACATAATTATTTCTTATATTTGTCATTTACAGTTTATCATCTCCTTTATTTCAGCGCTAATGCATGGAAATTCCTATTTCCGTTTAATTTTTGTGAACACATGAATAAAAAGTAGTATTTACGTTCACTATTTGTTAGAAAGTGTTACTTTTATGCACTCGTATTGTAACCGCTCTCTTAAGCTATTGTATTCCGTCTCTAGAATTTTCGAATTCGCGCCAAGACCAACCGCTTTAATTCAGTACAAGACAGATAGGGGGCACTGCACGAATTGCTGTCAACGCAATTTTCACACTTGAGCAAAGCAGCCAATCGCAAACGATTTCGAGCCCTTCAAACGAATTTCGTTTAAAGTACAGGAAAATTTGACCATTTTGTCTGGATCTGCCGGAAGCGAAAAGTGTATCAAGTGATTGTTCTAGAAGTGATTTCAAGACTCTTTAAAAGAGGTAACGGGATTTTATTGAACTTCTTTTATGAAAGTAAAGGTTATTGTAAAAATCAGTAAGGAATTTAAATTTCACAAAGTACGCGTATAGCTGAAATAATGATCGGTTATAAGACATGCATAACTTTTATTATGAAGAAACTAATATAGATTAACTTTCTTTATATTTTCATTTTTCGTGAATTGAGATAACATCGTGTTGTGGTTTGACCACTGCTGTAAAAAGGAGGCATTCATCAGCAGAGTGAAGGCGAATGCTTCCATCGTGCCCAAGCAGCAGATACGTTGGATTCATTCACGACCTCGCCTGAGAAGCCAATCGTTCGCCCCCGCACCTGAGGAACGACAGACATCCAGGGACGTTGTGGTGAGTTTTTGCCCAGCCCGCACATGTCTAGGTTTATCTGATTCTTTCGCAATCTGTATGCGCAGAAACAGAAAGCGTAAATATATAAGTTGTGACTCAGAGCCTTTATGTTTTAAACTAATGTTGCTATGCGCACTCAATGTTATTTTCCCCGAGAGTATTTCAAGGGAAACGCGTACGCTGTTATTACAGGTTTACGAAAACCTTTAATAATAACTGTGCATTTTTAAAATAGAAATTTTGAAAAGGTAAAAACTACTCTGGATTGTTACCACAATTATGTAATTGCTCATTCGTGAACACACGAATGTTGAAATTTGTTTCACTACAAAGGAAGTTATTTTTTTGTTATAATTAAGATTCAACCAAGTCTTTAGATAAATTAGTTCTGAGGATAACTAGTTATTACAAATCAATGATTCATCAAATGACAATGCAACGAAATTAATTCCTGAGTGTGTAAATAAGAGTGCATACTTGTTCATATTTCTATTTTTATGTTTAAATTAGCACGCTGCTAACATTGAGAATCTTTTTAACACGCCATGTGCGAAACGCAATTTCTCGTGCTTGTTTTCCGTGTGCGATATAGCTAATTCTTTCACAATGTGCGAAACATCGCGAAGCGTGTGCGAAACATATGTGACGATTCACAATTATCTATAGTCTTCGCAACGTCCTTTTAATATTTACAAACAATAGTTACGATTGTTCACTATTGAACAATCATGAATTAATATATGAACACACGTAAATATTAACATTAGTGTTACGACACT